AAATCGCGGGTGGGTTAGACATCATCTGTTTTGGCTGAAAACAGGTCTTGATGCGTCAACAAAATAAAGCTCTTGAAAACAACTGCTCCTTTGACTGAAAGTAGCTCTCCGAATATTATGCTGCTGATCCAAGTTTCAATATGTTTCAATGGGCTTTTTTTTTATTCCACAGGAAGCCACGGTTTCTGCCATAGTTTCATCCCAGAGGGACGCGACGCTGCACTGTTGAGCTTCCGAACTGCGTGGCGCCGGCAGGTAAGTGCGAGAATTCCTTGCAGATTTCGAGATTTTCCAAGATGGCTGTTTCTCGCGAAAAATGTGTGTATGGCTGTTTTGCCATAAAAAAATACGTGTGCATAGCTAAGTAAATGCGCTAATATCATATATATATATATGATATATACACATACGCATAAACAAATCTTGATTCTATAGATACTCGAAACAACGACGGGTGCCGTCCGCTTGTCAAGTGACAAAGGTTTAGTGAGTTGACATTCAACAGGCGCAGCTCGGTAGATCTCGGGGGTATGATTATCATCCCGTTTCTACGGTTGAACATTTCAAGTATGGCAGTGGGTCAAAACCTTGTACCCCTGGTGAACATCAAAATAGCTGGTAAATGGATGTTCATCCCACTAAAAATTGTATTAATAGGTATTGATCCATATAAAAACACCCACCCCATCATCCCATAATCCACGATATTACAGCGAAGGAAATTCCAATGCTGGTAGAAAAAAATGCTCGTATTTCGACTTAAACTGTGCCATGGATGCAATCATGAATCATTCTGGCAATCACTTGCCTGTATTCGATGGTGAAATCTCCATAAATCTTCATTTTTCCATGAAGGAAATTCCAATGCTGGTAGAAAAAAATGCTCGTATTTCGACTTAAACTGTGCCATGGATGCAATCATGAATCATTCTGGCAATCACTTGCCTGTATTCGATGGTGAAATCTCCATAAATCTTCATTTTTCCATGGTTGAATCATGTCTTAAATCACTTTGATTGGAGCAAACCTGTACCACGTTACCAGGCGGACAAGGGGCGTTCGATTGTAGCGGCTACGCTGGGACTGAGCACAGGGGCCTTTATCACCTCGGGGTGATCTTGCTGAAGCAAGGTGCCCCAGCGAACTTGGTGGAAACAAGTAGGTGAATCCTATGACTCCTGGTATTTTAGGCTGTGTATACATAGATATTATATACATATATCATATATATATATAAATATGTATATATATAGAGAGAGAGAGATAGTCAATGGGGGTTATGAACGAAATGATCGCTGGCTTCGGGATGACCTTGTATTAATCTTAATCTGGGTGTTTTTTTTGCACCAAAATTGCACTCCTAGAGGCTCATCAAAACAAGCAGATGGGAATTGAAGGTAACCCCTAGAATTAGCCTTGAAGATCACTTGGAAACTTCTGTACCACCGGTGTGTTGGGATGTTGTCTCAAAAAACAGGCTACCCCCTATATAGATCCACTGCTTCATCCTGACTTTTCTATATCATCCTATGATTTGTACCACCTTCTTAGTAATTATCCCCATTATACATCACATGTTCATCTATTTTCAGATACCCCACCCCGTTATCTTGCGGGGCAATGGGAAGCTAAAGAAATACTGGGAATACGTTGCTTGGCTCCCCTGCAAAGTACCGATGAGACCCAAATATTCGTGCTGCCTGCGAGTGCGCTAGTGGAGGGTACCTACCCTCTGGTAAACATACAAAAAGCTATTGAAAATGGCCATAGAAATACTGGATTTACCCATTAAAAATGATGGATCTTTCCATAGTTACGTTAGTTTACCAGGCCGGGTAACAACCATAGTTTTTACGGCGAGACGCTGTGTTCCAAAAACGGACTATTTTTCTTCGCCATGAAACATGTCAGATTAGATTGCCAGAATTTAAATCAACGGGGGAATGACAGATAGCCTGATATGGATTGATATGGTATTTTGATATATTTTAATGTATATTGTAGCTACATATAAGGGAAGCAGCTCTCACAGCAGCCTTAGAAAACAAAGGAGTTTCTAAATCCGAAGGTCTCATTTTCACTTGGTGCTTGGAAAAAATCCCAAGCCCCACTTCCGGCAGCAAACTATAAACAATCTTCACATGAATGAAGATGATATGAGGAATATGAGGGTTTCCATAGTCATGAAGGTACCCCAATAGCTGGATAGTTTATAATGGAAAATCTCCCCAAAAAAAATGGATGATTTGGGGGTACCCCGATGACTTGGGAAAACTCCACATAACATGATCAGTATGATAAACTGGTTGGTGGTTTTAACCATCTTGAAAAATATGAAAGTCAATGGGAATGATTATCCCATATATTATGGAAAATAAAAAATGTTTGAAACCACCAACCAGTAAATATAGTTAATTCTCAAAGAACCATCATGATCCTCTATGGTGAGGTCAGGACTTGCCTGTCGAAAACCACCCACACCAAGGACTCATCTCTAACCTAGGCCACTGATGCATTCTTGCAAATGCGGCTGCACAAACAAACATGCATTGCTTGATGCTTGAGCCACCCTGAAAAATATGCACATCATGTGGAATAATCATCTCAAGTAGGAAATGGAAAATAATTGAAATCGCCAAGCAGCACTTGTGGCGAAAAATGGGGTACCATAGTACCAAAAGACCCATGAAAGTCACTTTTTTGATATTGTGGTAGACTAATCCATCCGTTTTGCAAGGCCAAGAACTTTGTGCAACTCCTGTGTGCAACACATCTTGTTGAGTGCATGAGGCAACCTATCCTACTGCTGCACCATTGTTGGCACAACCGTTCAGGTTCCATGTGCGTTTGTCTAAAACAGCCATGTTTAGGTATCGACAATTCTTGGACAAACCCACCTTTAGATTTGGGGGTCTGGCCAACACAACAGGTAAAACTGTTGCGAAATTCTGGCTGCTGCCATTATGAGGCACTGCTATAGTGCCAGGAGAGAGACTTGAAAAACAACTACATGTAGTTACATGTACTGCGTATGCACAGATAGATAGATGGTTAGGATAGGACAGGGTAGGATAGGATAGGGCAGGACAGGATAAGATAGGATGGATAGGATCGATAGCATAGATAGAATAGATAGTTTAGGTAGACAGACAGACAGATAGATCGATAGATCGATATATAGATAGATAGGATACAAAATAGATACATAAAACAAATAAGATAGATAAGATAGATAAGAAAGGTAACATAGGTAAGATAGGTAAGATAGATTAGATAGATTAGATAGATTAGATAGATTGGATAGATAAGATAGATTGGAGAGATTGGATAGATTGGATAGATTGGACAGATTAGATTAGATAGATTAGATAGATTATATAAATAGACTAGATAGATTAGACAGATTAGACCGATTAGACAGATTAGACAGATTAGACAGATAGACAGATAGACAAATAGACAGATAGACAGATAGACAGATAGACAGATAGTCAGAAAGATAGATAGATTCCATAGATTAGATGGATTAGATTGATAGATAGATTAGATAGATAGATGAGATAGGATTAGATAGGATTAGAAAGGATTAGATAGGATTAGATAGGATTAGATAGGATTAGATAGGATTAGATAGATTAGATAGATTAGATAGAGAAGATAGCTAAGATAGATTAGATAGATAGGCAAACTTAATATATAATCTATAATGATCAACACGAGCTACAAGTCAATTTAGCCCATCATCATTGACCCATCCCCATGACCCCAAAACATATCAGAGACCCGACGAAATGTTCAAGGCGAGAGGAAGCTTCAGTGGGAAATCGAAAGGTTTGCGTAAGGATTTGGTGACAAGAAGGGATCCCTAGGTTTGTTGCTTCGGAGACCATCTAACATAGATAAATCATGATCCACCGTAAATCAATCGGTTCTGTTACATATCAAGTTATGAAACTTAAGCTATTTACATGCTATTTACCAAGGCCACCCCAATCGGATGGCCCCTGCTGGGCTTTTTTCGGCCCCCATCTGGGCCCCCCTCACATGGCAGGCCTTCTTTTCCTCCTGAGATTTTCACGATTTCAGCTGGGTAGGTTTGGGAGAAATGTCAACAGAATGTGAGCTTTTAAACAAATGTGGGAAACCCAAGAGCATGAGCATCCCCAATTTATCACCATTTATGTGGTTCCTATCAACCATCTCCAAATGGTAGATTTATTGTTGGGTTTCCCAAATTCGTGGAAGTCGATAGAAATCAAATGAACACAAAAAATACATAAAAATACACGGAAATAGATCACACTAGTTGTCCCAAGATTTAAGGGGTGGCCCTCAATCAATTGGAAAAAGGACATCGACAGATTGCAAAATTGACCCAACATGCACAGCGGCCCTCTTTTCCATGCAGAAACACACACACATCAAGATCTGGACACAGCACCCGGCTTCAGCATGACTCCAAGTGAGCACTTACCGGCGAGATATCGGCGAGGAGCGCCGAAAAATGTACTTCATTCTTCTTCCGGTGAATTGTTCAGTGAGACAGGTCTGACATGGGGTGCAAAATCAGGTGGCTCCGGAAAAGGAGGCTGCACCACTGTCATCAACGTGGAGGGTGAAGGTTGACTTGGCTGAGAGATGTGTTTAGTAACCGTTACAGTAACCCCTAAAAAGATTGATAGCTACTAATCATATCACAATGCTCATGAAGGATTTTACAACTGTCTATCTTTTGGGGATTGCTCATACTCAAGTGATTATAAGCAGATCAGCATGCTTTGCCAAATCTTGCCAAATCCCACCCTGGCATGTGACAGTCGGTCACATATTATATACTTCCAAAGTGTTGACCAAAACGAAGTGGTCTTTGCGGACAAACAGAGAAATACACTGTTTCTATTTCCGAGCAAATCTCAATGACTATAGATTGATAGTTATCACTGATAGTATCCCATTGAGGTTAACTGTCTATTTCACCTCAGTTTGATGTTGGGTTATCACAGTTATCACTGCATATCCTGTTCGTATGTTCGATAAAGCAAGTCATTGGATTTTCAGGGGCTCCAAGAGCTTCAGAGCTTCAGCATCGGAATCTCCGCTCCAGTCGACCAGCATCGGTTGCATGATGCTTGCAAGAACACCTTGACGACTTTTTTGATGACAGATGTAGAATCTGCATGAATGTTCATCTGTGATGAATGTTCACTTGTTTTTCGTGATGCTGGCTGGTACAGCTAAGGAGAAGATCACAAGAAGAACACGAGCTTTTTGGTCCCGTGATCATCTTCAACTTTTAGAGAAGGTGTCAATCCGTCCAAGTAGCCTACAATCAAGGCATAGGCATACCTGCTCTGTCGGGCCGCATCCTGGAGTTTTGCGTAAATCTTCTCCTCAAAGTCATGGCCATCAGTTGGGCCAAAAATCTGCCCGGCTTTCCCATCGATACTGGCTGGTTTGGTATCCCTGTGATCATCATACTCAATCCCCAATAGTAATTATAAGATTGGGTATATCATGATATAATATATATATATAGAGAGAGAGTATAAATTTATACCCACCTAAATAACCAATCATGGCGTTGAGTAGTCTCCGCCCGCTGAGGTGGCTTGGTTCTTTCGAGAGTTCATGGCTGTGGTGATAGTGGATGCTGGAACAAAAGAATGGAAAGGTATGGAAAGGATGTCTGGTTGGTGGTTTTAACCATCTTGAAAAATATGAAAGTCAATGGGAAGGATGACATCCCATATATGAAATGGACAAATAAAAATGTTTGAAACCACCGACCAGATGTATGGTTTTAAAAATGTTGAAAAGGTGTTCATAGGTATTCCAAAATGTGCACTATATTCATTCATACAACAGGACAAATGGGGTCCCAAATGTCACGAGCGGAAAGGAGCAAAGCTAGCGGTACAACTCCTGTGGGACACTCTTGCGAAGCACTCTCGTCAAAACACTTTCATCGGACACTCTTGTCACATGCTCTTGTGAGAGACGCTTGTAGAACACTCTTGTAACATGCCCTTCGACGTGAAAGACACCGTTGGAAGACACTCCGGAGGACAAACACTCTTTTGGAACACTCTTGTTAGGCACTGTTTCCCATAAAATCCTTGTTTCACCACATCGCCAAGCATTTTCATGTTTTTCATGTGTTTTTTGGGGCGTCTGATTTGGGGTATGTCGGTATGTTTTGTTCGCCTCAGTACTTCCGTTGGTTTTGTTATTATTCGACTAGAGTTTTGTTAGCCATAAGAAGCATTTTGGAATATCATGTGTTTCTAGAAAATCTCAACTTCGTAGCATCGACTGCGTGTGCAAGTCGACATGAACACGATGGCCTCCGTATAAACAGAAAACCCATTTAAAATCGTGTGGGTTCGTTCAGTTTCTCCTCAGGGGAACTGCTGAACTGCTTCTCCAGAAGCCAAGCAGAAAAACATATTTTTCAGAATCTACAAATCATGTGTGCTCATTATCTAGAAACACAGAAAAAGATAGAAGAGGCCAAATTTACCGCCATTGCAGTAGGGTGTTCTTTTCCTATATGTTTGGGGGCTGCTACACTAATTATACTATTTCTGGGGTTGCTATATCAAGCACAAATAACATAATCTAGTAGCACCGCAGTGATGACTTTGGACCGTTCAAAGGCCAGGGGTTTCTGCTCAAAATCAAGCTTGGACTCACGAAAGGCATGGTTCACGAGCCTCCTAACTCAGAGTACCTTTCTTGTAAGTAGTTGTTGGAATTGGAACGATCCAACACAGTAATATTTTGGAACACCCCTGATCAACCACGAATACATGATAATCTTGGATGCCCCGCAAAATTCAGATCCTTTTCAGCTGTGTGTGAAATGGTGTTCCATTGTTCCATCAGAATACCAGATTTTCATAAACCACCAGTTGATGAATGTAATTGTAGTCGGATACTAAACCATAAGCCAAAGAGTTGATGAATGTAGTCTCAAAAGCAGGGATTTTTCGAACTCCAACTGTAAAAGCTATCAGCTATCGCTCAAAACGTTGGTTACCACCGCACCAGTCAGTTTGTGTCCCCCCTTGGTGGATAATTAGGTTGGATCACCCTGGTCATTTCCGGTCCACGTAGATGAAATAAAAAATGGTTAGATTAGGTCAAATCCAAAATGTTTATAAATGTTTGTGGTTAGAGCTTTGGCCCTTTGGCCTGTGTTCCCCACGAAATCCGCAACGAGCAGGACGAGGCGCTGGCTCATTCTCATCAAAGCATCTCCTGCAGTTTTCCCTGGGGACCCGGTGTCAAAAAAAAATTGGGCCAAATGAAGCCAGCAAAGTCATTCCATCCCTCGTTCATGTTCAAACACTCCCAGAGTTTGCATGGTAGAAAGTAGGGGATTTGCACTGATTTAGGATTTGGGGTCATGAATTAATTGGGTTGTTGAATATTTTTCTGGGGGATGGTTGTTGATCCTCCCAATGTGCCGCCTTACGCCCTGCGGCCTCCTAAAGCTCTAAAAAAAACGCCTGACTAGGCCGGGCCAGGGGCCCATGGGTATAACCCCTTCCTACACTTTCTCCAACTTCATTCAACGATGTTCCTTTGGTACATTATTCTATTCGCATTTATTCGCCATCATCTATACCCAGCTCGAGGTCCTTGTTCCTTGCCTAGAAAAGGACTAATGGGGCCCTTCCCAGCCCGTGCTCCTAAGCTCTTCTTTCACCTTCTCTCTGACATCCTTCCTGGGTCGGTAGCCTGGCTCCTGATTGATGACATGATCAAAGTCGCAGCGGCTTCCTTTCCAGCATCCCAACCCAGATGCAAAGAAGATGCAGGGCTCCCGCGTCCGGCGGCCGAGACCATGGCGCGACGACAACTCCATGGTGTCGTTTTTTTCAACGGAACGGGGGGGGGGGCGGGGGGGCGGCGTTCGGAAAACTGCTCGACCCTCGGTGCTGCGAAGAGATTCGGAGGCGGCTGGAGCGGCTGGAAAATACTGATGACTAAGCTCGCAGAAATGAGGCCAGGAAACTCCACCGCCATAGCCGTGTGTAAAAGTTGGTCGAAAACTTGTACGTTTTGAAATCATAGGAAGCAGTTCAATGGTCTTTTGGCCGGTGCCTTCAAAGCAATTACATGGATATAGACCTACGTAGATTAATTCAGTCTTTGGCCCAATTCTACCCAATCTCCAGTGAGATCTATCCCAATCTCAGTGGCTGAATCACTCAAAAAACATGGTAGATGGGGAAAGAAATAACATATTCGAAGTCACCAACTAAATTATAGGTCTACTCATTCTGAAGTGCCGCAATGTCGCCAATGTCGCTCCTCGGTGGCATTGAGGTACTCTGCAGGTCCCAGGTAGATCAAAGACCTGAGTCCCTGAGTCTCGTCCCCAAATCTGTAGATTTCACCCAACTATTGCATTTTGATGATATAGTGGGATATGTTGTTGTTTTTTTACGTGATATGATGATATAATAGTGGGATATTTGGGGATATAATAGTGGGATATTTTAAGTGATGATCACCCAACTATAGTGGGATACTATCTGGTAAGATATTTGTTGATGATATAATTGGATATGTTGTTTTAAAAAAACAGTGACATAATGGTATATTATGTGTTGATGATATTTTTTAGTGATATAATGGGATATTTTGTTTAAAGTGATATAGTGATATATGTTTTTAGTGATATAATGGGATATTTTGTCATGCTCCTTTTTTTCAATTTCACTTAGAGTTACAAAACATAAACATTCCCAAACGATGAAATCCTCGGGTGCAGTACCCTATGTTCAACCAAACTTCACCCCTCCAAGACCAAGTATTCTGCACAAATCCCATGTTCAGAAGGGGGAGTTGTCAAGCTTCGAAGGAAAAAAGGAGAATTTCGCACGAAGATCAACCTTTCCTTCTATCATCTCATTGGGGAACTGGCATCCGAAACACCCCTCTGCTATCCATGTCGAAACCACCCTTAAACTTTTTTAGAGGGCTGCACTCTGCTGACTCCCCCAGATTTAGGAGAATTCCTAGCATGGTTTTTCTCCCAACTGAAGCTGAAAGAATCCTCTGACTTCCCCAGACTCTCCACTTGGTTGACATCCTTGTGGAGAAAGGACTGATCCTCAGGCACTCCGTATCAGCCATATATGGCCATATCGCTTGAGGCAAGGCCACGACAATTATGGGCAACCACACTTTTTCATGGTCATCCTAAACAGTCTTAATCAATCTTACTCACCCATATTTCTTGAGGGTCCAGTATTGACCCCTGCCCAAAGATAGCCATGGCTTATCAGGGCTGTAGTTTTCATGATGATTTCGCCCGCATCTTAATGCGCAAGACGCAAATTACATGACCCTCAGCTAGTTGCAGGCCAGTAGATATGGAAAGCATTGGAAAGCCGGCGATTTTGCTCATGCTTATCATGCTTAATGGTTATGTGGGAGACTAACTTAGTAGGCTTGCAGAAACATGCAACAAGTCTTAGTAGGGTGGTCTCCTGAAGCACCAGCAAGGATAACCATCAAAATCATAGTCCCAGCATTGGTTTCGTAAACATCTGCAGGCGCTTTGGGTAACCTGTGCTTTTTGAGATTGGTTAATTAGTTGAATCCATGGAAAAACATGGGGATTCAACCAAACCAATCAGTTCAAACCTACCTCAGCTTGGTTTCACCAGTACCCTCCAGTAAATTAACATAGACCCTGGTAGATAGGGGTTGGAAGATTAGTTTCCTCTAAAAATTGGTGATTTTCAGGGTCTATGTTTATTTACCAGAGGGTATATCCCCTGTTTTTATCCGTTGAAATCGCCGTGGAATCAGTGGAATCCCGGATGTTTTTGATGAGTGAAACCCCCCAAGGTCCCACGCCCACGCCGATCTGACCAATGTACCTGGAGCGACCAGTGGTCCCCAGGGACCATGAATTCAGGGGTGGATACCTGGACAACTGGACCTGGCATTTCTTAGTGAGATATGAAAAATCCCTAGTGAGATATGTTCAGAAAAAAACACAAAAAATGATTTAAAGATTGGATGGTCGCTTAAAATCCTGCACCAGTTGATAAGTGGTAAACATAAAGTAAACATCCCAGTGGGTTTCAACATGTTTTGTTTCAGCCAAGGTGGTGCAAGAATTTCTTACCCATCAACAGTATATTGCATATGCCAAGGGGCAAAGAATCAAAAACCATGGCCTCCAACCTCCTCAATAAACTGGCTTCACTGGATTCCATATGGGACCAAGATCTGGTCAGGTCTGAGTTACATGGCCCAGAAAACTGGTCACCAAATCCATCCAAATCCCATGATGTGTCCCCACGATGCGCGGCTGAGGTGGCGCCTTGACCTGACCTGTGGTAGTCTAGTCAAGTATGATCCATGAGGCTTCAAATATGGATCCCATCCATGAGGCATCTTGAAAATGTTGAAATCCCAAAAGATTCCTGCCCTCTGGTAAACTAACATAACTATGGAAAATCACCATTTTTAATGGGAAAATCAACTATAAATGGCCATTTTCAATAGCTATGTTAAATTACCAGAGGGTATTCATTCCTATTCAATCCTATTCATCGGCAGGATCCATGGCCTCCTTAACTGCGGTCACTGGCTCTCCAGACTCGTGAGTCTGGTCTCTGCGGGATGGTTCTCATTGGGGACCTCGACTCCATGATACCTGGGCGGCCGATGATTTACTAATTAAAACTGGTGATTTTCGATAGCTATGTTAGTTTATTGTTGGTTTACCAGAGGGTATATCCACATATCTTATCAATGGTACTTTCAACCATTTTCAACCCATGTTCTCTTTGGATAGTCTTCCCAGGGGATGAACAACGACCAACGACCACGTTTCCACGTTTCGATCATGCCAGACTTCTGAGCCCATGGTGGATGAGCTGGGAAATGAGCTCACGATTTCGCATCAATGAAGACTTTGATCATCCATCATGTGTTATAGTTACCCTCTGGTAAATTAACATAGACCCTGGCAGTTGTTGGGGTTGGAAGACTAGTGTCCATTAAAAATGGGTGATTTTCAGGGTCTATGTTTATTTACCAGAGGGTATCATGATATATCATGATATATCCATAATCATCATACATCCACAATCATCCCAGACATATCATGATATAAACATAGACTTTGAAAATAACCCATCTTCCATGGAAACGAATCTTCCAACCTCTCTATCTGGCAGGGTCCAACTGTTATTTTACCAGAGGGTTTTATGTCCATACATATCATCCACTAGTTGGTGGTTGACCTACCCCTCTAAAAAATATGAAAGTCAAATGGGAGTATTATCCCCAATATATGGAAAACTAAAATTCATGTTCCAAACCACCAACCAGATCCAGATTGTGCTCAATGTATCAATTCCTGGGAGCCGCTCCTGATGAGTTTCCCGTCCTGCACCAGGCGCCCATCCCTGTCGCAGCCCAGCTCTGGAAAAATCCACGGACCATGGGGGTGTTTTCCTAAGTCATCGGGGGTACCCAATAGCTGGATGGTTTATATTGGTTTATAAGGGAAAATCCCAATCCAACATGGATTTTTGTTGGGGGTACCCCTATTTTCATCCGGAAAGACATGGATGATGACTGGGAAAAAACCTCTATTTGGATGGATACCCTGATGGCCCATATGACAAATGGGAAGTTTTTAGGTGATCGCTGAGCAGATGTCTGCAAAACACATGCATTGCTTGCAATTATATGTACATTACGTATACTGTTTTCGCCAAGATCTCCCCAATTGGTAAGTTTCTGCAGCTTGGGAAACTCAAGTAAAGTAGCTCCGGGCCACCCTAAATCCCATGAAATCCCATGATCATCAGTTTCTCTGGACAAAAATGTGCTGGGCCTCGGGGTATCTCCATCGTAAGACACACACATGACATATCACCAGCAGTACCTCACGAAAATACCACCCATGAATGATCTGAGAAGCTTCACGATTGGATACTCACATTTTTAGGGGTGCAGGCCTACCGGTGCTTCAAGGGGCAAACACACTGATTATTCACAGCATGTTCAGAAAAATGGTCCATAAGTTTTTTTTCCCTCTCTTGTATACCTTGCAGGCAAGCATCTCGAAGCCGATAAGGAACTCTAATAGACATGCATTTGATGGCAGAACATATCGCAGGATATCAAACCAGATTCCAATCAGGGACCCAATGGGATCTACAATTCCGGAAGCCAGTGGGTTCCTTATTACAATAAAGAGAAGCCTGAATCAAAATTGACCAAAGTGCTTTGGGGTGTCGAAGTTTCAAGTGCAAAGGAAAGGCTGACAATGTAGATAGGCCAAAGCACGTGCAGTGCTTGGCCGCGTTGTAGTCATCTTCAAGGGGAAAGCTGGTCGCAAGAAATGTTTCCAATAGCACTTGAACCTTTCAATTAACAGCCCAAAGCTCTGACCTACATCAAACACACCAGGAACAAAGCCATGCTCACTGATGACGTCGATCATGAAGAATGCCCATGGAGTGTACTCAGACAAGTAACCAGATGCCTTTCCCCAATGTGAATCATGTATTGATGAGACAATGATGCTTTTCAATCTGTGAGGAAGTTTACGCTGTCTAGGGAACACAACATGACTCACATCAGCAGGCATAACACGGTCAGAACGAGCAGAAATCCAGCTTTTGAGAACAGGATACCTATCCCCAAGCAAAGCCCACATGGAATTCGGAATTTCTGCCCGTCGATCCAACAGATTAAGAAAAGCACGTTCAACAGTAGCAGTCTGCAGTGATCGGGCGCATGCACCACGGCACAGACACAAGACTTGGCTCTTCTTACGAATCCGTTTCAAGGGCGCACATGTGCAATTCTGGGCTGGACTAACTTTAACATCAGAAG